TGCTTGTAACGGTTCGTCACAGTGGCGTTTTACTCTACCTACCCCTAGGTAAATGAAAGCACGTCGAAACGGTCAACCACCTGCGCCTACAATAATCCCTTTCCACCTAAATGCTACGAACTCTGTCTATAAAAGACAGTCATCGTCTGACTTACGATACTTTGCTAGCAATCATCACCATCGCAGCAACTCATCTATCAATCACATAGCGCAGCGTTTCCGTGTATCAAACATGTATGATACCTCTAGGTTTGTATTGTATGTTACCTGGATGCCACTACATATGCATTGGGATGAAGAGAAAACAAGATGTGAGAGAGAAGAGACCGAGTCCGGGGACTCGGTGGGCATACGCTAGGTAGATAGGTGTTACGGGTAAGGCTGAAGTAACAGTGATGAACCTTGTTCGTTAGACGGGGGCGGGGAGTGGGTGGGAAGATAGGTTGCAAGGGGATTCATAATCTTTAACGACAGTTTCCAAAATGACGGTATAAAAATAAAGGGGAGAATTCATATCTAAATCGCTAGTTACTTAAAATACTGGCCACATTGACAACCAAAAGCATCGGCACGATACATGTACGATCCTCCGCTGAAATATTCACATTCACAACACCCACCACCATTTGGCATTGCCTCCCATCGGTTATCCACCTTAAGCATCCAGCGGCTTTTGCGCCCTCACCATGCGCCACCTAATGTTAGAATGAATCTTGGCTTCCCTGATGTCACACGGACATATGCCACACTCCTGGTAGCATACGGGCATATGCTACACTCCTGGTGGCATACGGGCATATGCCACACTCCTGGTGTCATACGAGAAAGACCTACATGTATGCAGATCGCTAGATGCCTTGGAGCCCCAGGTGACAAGGACCTGTACGTACTAGATAGGTACCGTTTCCCTTTGGCATAAGAAGGTCTTGAAGCCCAGCCTTTCTTTAGAGGTTGAAAGGACCAACAAGGCCTTCGAGACCAAAGTAGTTTATCAGCGGAATTGAACTACTGTTCCAAGCCCAAAACACTGCCCTTGTCACACCTGAACTCTCGGCGAATAATAACGGCGTAGTTTGCGATTTCCTTCGGGGTCCACCCCAGGTATTTGGGCATGAAATAGACAAGGAAGCCCTCAATGTCATGTGTCGGCACCACAGACTGGTAGAGATCCAGCTGCTTCATCTTTTCGTCATCAGATCAGGGCGCGAGGGGAACCTAGATCTCAGGGTCAGCTTCAGCTCGTCTCAAGGACTCACGGACAAGGAAAGTCTTACACAGTAATCCTCGGACGTAATGTTGGTGAACCCAGCGTTCTTCATTCCATTGTCCATCGAATCTGAAGAAACCACGCTGACGTCGAGCCCGGTCTTCCGCTCAACCTCTTTCCAAATTGGACCCCACTGGGCCATGGCGGATTCATTAGGCATCATTCCATTAAAGCAAAAAATTCAGCATCGCAGTCAAGTTGTTCAATCCAACTGCCCGGCTTGCAGCACCGATAAGCCTCCTTATACAGGGAATCCCAATCGTTAATAACACCGGTAAGCCAGCGAATGTGAATGAAGTCGAAGTAATTCTCTTGATAAGTCCACTTCTTGGATGCGTCATTAATCTCGAAGCTGGCGTTTGGAGGTACCCAGCTAGGTTGAATAAGGGAAATGTCGGTGCCAATTACGTTGCAATTGGGATGATCGTCTGCAAAGTCACTGTTATATGAAAAATAAGATGTTAGTAATCGAAGATCGATCCAGGAACCTGACAGGTCAGTCTTACATGGCCCAGACTCCTGCACGTAAAGATGGTCAGTAAAGTTGAGTAAAGGGAAAAGATGGCGGCCCAGGTTGATCAGCTTACCAGTGCCAGTACCGATATCAATAGCGTTCTTAATCTCCTTCTCATTGAGCGGGGACGTATACAGTCTTTCCATCGAAAAACATAACCATGGCCGCGTGCATGATATCCAACAACTCATTTGCCTTGGCATCATTAGGGCCCCTGAGTGGTGCACATTGTGACAAGGGCAGAGTTCTGGGCTTGGAACAAAGTGTTCAATGCAGCTGATAAACTACTTTGGTCTCGAAGGCCTTGTTGATCCTTTCAACCTTCAACCAAAGGCTGGGTTTCAAGGCCTTCTTATGCCAAAGAGGTGTAGTACGTACTGAGGTGCGTACCGAGCCTTGTTGCCTAATACCTCGAGGTATCTACCTAGCGGTCTTCATGTGGATTTTCCTGAGTGCTTTTCAGCCATTCTCCTTCTTTCCTCTAGCATCGGCCTCTGTCCGGTCTTTGTTGTTGTTGTTGTTGTTATTTTTAACGTCTACTTCCGCCTCCCGTAGGGCATGAGACGTGCCGCACCGGTGAGTCTAGCATACAAAATTAAGAGCAATGCCCTAACTGTCCACCAAAACTATTAATCCGAGGGCAAACCGAGGCCTATTGCCAGTGTAAATCATGTGTTGCCCATAGCGTAAACGCGGCCCAACACTTATAATCGAATCGCCCAGTGAGCGAGCCGCCAGTACATGACGGAACCTGTAGCACAAAGGAAAAGATAAAAGAAATGACAAAATCACTCCTCTAAGGTTGCGCCTTTTTGAGGCAGTGAAATAAGCTTTTGATAGCTGCCATTGTCTGGCTTCGGCGAGCATTGGCAGTAAAAATGAGGAGAAGTAGTAGTCGGGACCAACGCTGAATGACTTTGCGAGGTTGTCACAGTCTCGTGTCATGGCGCTTGAATTCACTGCACGCAATAACCAGACGATGCTCCAATAGGCTGCGGTACCTGGTTAGGATTGAATCCAACTATTGATTTGGTCCCGCAGTTTGTACATACAGGCCAGCTGACCAGGTTCCATGATAATAGATGAGGGAAGATAGAGGAAGAGCAAGTTAGAGGAAGAGGGAGGAAGCGACGCCAATGCAACTGGCGGGGTTTAGCGTTTGGGCTAGAACGTTCATGGGCGGACATTAGATTTTACCGAGCGACGAGACGAATAGTCGGATCAATGAAGTAGGGCAAGACAGGCAGATGAAGGAGGTAGGCTAATGCAGGCAGGTTACGGCAGGAAGATGAAGGAGGAGCGACATTTGCAGGTTGTCAAGCCTTTTATCGGCCCGGACCGACAAAAAGGCTTGACACCCTTGTCGCTAAATTCTTTGCTTCACCCACATCAAGACCGCGCTCGACGAGATCGAGACAGCAGCATCGAAGGCTCTCCGAAAAACAATGCCGGTCTGGCTGCCGACACTAAATTGCAAATCTTTCAGCTTGCCCTCAAGTGGTACACCAATATCCGAACGTCGAAGGTTTGCGAAGCACTTCCTAACTCTTCTTCTTTTCTAGATCCTGAACAGGGCAATAAACAGGGCATCTAGACGCCTCATCGCGCTTCTCCAGGAGGAGCTGGGCAAGTTAAGTGGCGAGAACAAACTCATCGAGGATATCAGAGAGACGGATGAGGTACTATCGAACCTCAATCTCGACAATAGGAAGTCCGGGTGCCGTTTCTGAGAATGTCAAAACGACGTTTTCTGAAGATGTTTGGTAGTGCTCAGAATCAGTTCCTTGGATGGAAATAGAGAAAGCAAGACGTATATTCTTTTTGTACCTAAGTATCAAATATTTCGCCCGTGGACGTCAAAACCCGGCCCCATATCTTGAATGACTTGGCTGTTTTCATGCTACTCCAGTCCGCATTCTGGTTGAACTGGCCAAATAGGGAGGAGCTGGAAGCAGTGCGAGCAGATCACTGTATGTGA